TTATTTTATCTATTTATCTTGGAGCTTTTCGTTAAATATAAGTACATTCCATATACAGTTTTTAAAGAGCTTTTATGAATTTCTGTTTGATCAGTGGGTTCAAGGTATTTTTCGCTAGAGTTTATACTTCATATAATCCAATCCAACTCCCAAGAAATCTCTTGCAAAACAAACTGAATCATGTTTCTTATTTTTTATTTAGTAATACTGCTATATACTGTTCCGTGTTTAAGTTTTACCCACTAACAGTTTTAATTCTAGACATGAATGAGTCTCAACATTTATTTCCTGTTTAAAGCATTTTGAAATCGGTATATTCTACTGGTGGGCATAGGCATTCTGGATCTATTAACAGCGCATAACCGAAAATGACTCCAATTACGGGCTATTGAACCTAGCACAATATTTTCATAATTACGCCACAAAGTACGTTTGCAACAACAACTACAAGTTAATGCAAAGTTGCGCAGAGGAAGAGAGCGGGGCGGGTGGTGCGCGCTGAGGAGATGCGGCAGATGCATAGATAGCAGCATACGAAAAGTAAATTGCGTCGGCAGCAACGAGTAAATGCCATTTATAGCTCCAAATGTGAACTGAACGTGTTGGCACCGCCAACGAAATGCTGCTGGCGACGTTGGCGCGTTGCATAACGCAGCCGCACAGCCAGCCACAGCCATAGCTAGAGCGAAGTACTATCAGCAGCAGCAGCAGCAACAGCAGCAGCAGCATCTACATCTACAGCCACAGAGCATGTCTAGCCCACTAGCATTTGGATGGGAATGGGGCTCGGGTGGAGGGGAATTGGGAAGAAGGGGCGGGCACTGGGTCTGGGCCTCGCTCTATGGGCTGCTAGTCTGGGCAACTAATTAGGATTTAGAAACAACATCAAATTTAGAAATGCACCGAAATAAAACGAAATAACGAAAAACTGACGTTGCGCTTAGGTGAACTGAATCCAACGGAGCTGAAGTACCATAATAAATGGAATAAATGCGTGAAAATGCGTGCGCCCAAAAATAGACCTAAATAGTACACAAAATATCACTTGAAGTTGCGCCCTATCGAATTGTTGACCCCGATTCTTGAATATCCAGTAAATATATGCTCATATTTTGCAGAGTCGGCACGAGAACGGTACGGACGGCTTTTTTGGCAAAAGCGATAGCGATGTGGACGTAGTCGACGACGCCTCGCAGCCGGAACGTGTGTGGCTGGTGCATCGCGGTGGCTTTACGGCAGCGCTGCGTCTGCCACCCGGCGACACGGCGCATGAGGAGCATAAGCTGAACGTGCGATTGCTGCATAATGGCGAGCAGTTGACCGTGGACGAGGATGACATCGAGAAGCAGAACAGCCCCGCACTGGACTTGGTTGAGGACATCTGTGAGCTGAAGTATCTGAACGAGGCGTCTGTGCTGCACTGCCTCCGACAGCGATATGCCAGCAATCTGATACACACCAAGGCGGGGCCCACGCTGCTCGTGGTCAATCCAATGGCACCCCTGTCGCTCTACTCTGAGAAGGTGAGACTGGTCTGGTTGCTGGCCTGTACTGGTTTGGTTTGATTTGATTTGTTCGGCTTATTTATTATCTTGCTGTGTCTTTCTTGTCTGTTTGCTTGCTTGTAGGTTGTATCCATGTTTCGCGGCTGCAAAACGGAGGACATGCCGCCCCACGTCTACTCGCTAGCCCAGACCGCCTACAGGAGTTTGGTTGAAACGCGACGCGATCAAAGTCTAATATTCATGGGTCGTTCTGGTTCTGGCAAGACCACAAGCTTTAAGCATGCGCTCAACTACTTGGCGTTGGCTGCTGGTATGTCTAGACATTGTTGTTGCTATTGTTGTAGCTATTGTTGTAGCCGTTGCTGATGTTGGTGTTTGTAGTTATTGCAGTTATTGTCGCAGTTGGTTGGCCCCGTTTGGGCCACACCAAAAATCCAATCTGGCGTTCGATTAGCTCATTTGCATTTTGTCTAAATGCGCAGCTGCAATTTGTCAAGCCATTTCTCATTGTTCTACCATTGTAAAATGGTATAATTTCAGTTTGTCATGACGTAGGTTATGCCTTATACGACAAATCCTAAACGCAATTCATATCGAATTGGTCTTCAGTTGTCTAGTCGACTACATTTGTAATCCATTTATCTGATTCTCGCCCATTGGTAGGCGTAAAGAAATAAATCTTAGCTTTATTAATGTTCAGATTTGAATACCAATTCTTGCAATAATTATTATTTAAATTATATAATTGCAATTATACAAGGATTGATTAAGACAATTTTGATAGAGATATACACCTTAATTCTGGTAAATAAGACATAAATGCAAATGATTCTAAAATTTAATATAAATGTTTATAAATACTTATACTAGTAGCGATGCGACGATCAATATTAATTTGTATGTTTCAATCACAAAATTCATATTACTGTCCATTGAAACTGTTATTTATTCAACTAATTAATTTCTCCCCTCAGGTGCATACAATAATTTTATTAATGCGGAAAAAGTTGGTGCATTGTGCACAATTTTGGAAGCCTTTGGTAATACGAGAACATGTCTGAATTCGAATGCGACGCGTATGACGCAGCTGCTCAGCTTGGACTTCGATCAGACCGGTCAAATAGCATCAGCCTCTTTGCAGGTAAGCTGAGCGTAGATCATCTCTCGGTTGATTATCTCACTAATGACCTACGTTTGGTTATAGGTGCTGCTGCCGGAGCGACAACGTGCGGGTCGCAGGCTTGCGCACGAGCACAGCTTCCACATTATGACGCGACTGTTGGCTGGCGCCGCCGGTCTGCTACAGAAAGAGCTGCATTTAGAGAACATCTCGTCTGAGGACAGTCATCCATTTATATCGCTTTCGCAGCGATTGGAAGATCGTCATCGGGCGGCCAATGACTTTTTGCGTACGGTGCAAGCATTTGAGACACTCAACATTGATGCCAAGGCTGTGCGGGGTATCTGGAGTATACTGGCAGCTATTTATCATCTAGGCATTGCGGGTATTACTCGAATGGGCACCGGGTCGACGGCTCGAACGCAGTTTGCGAATCCGACAGCAGCACGGAAGGCGGCCAGTCTGTTGGGCGTCAATCTTGAGGATTTATCGGCAGCTGCATTCGGTCTTACGCAGCCCAATGCGACAGGCGCCAGCTTGAGTCCCTCTAAGTCGCCCACTTCGGATGGCGGTCAGGACTGGGCCTGGGAATGTCTTGAAGCACTCGTCATTGGCCTTTACTCGGAGGCACTGGCCGCTGTGGTGGCTCTGATAAATCGCCAGATCTGCACTTCAGCTCATACTATTGCTTCAATAATGCTCATCGATACACCAGGCTTCCAAAATCCAGCCAGCTGCGGCCAACAAGTGGGCGCCACACTGGCAGATCTGCGTCACAACTATCTGCAGGAGCGACTCCAAATGCTGTTCCATCACACAACATTGGTGGCGCCACGAGATCGCTATGCCCAGGAGCTGGTGGAGATCGAAATGGATCATGCTTCCGACTGTCATCCGGGCCCGCTGATATCCCTGATTGACAAGGCTCCACAGAATCATGTGGTGCGATCTTCACAGCGCGATCTGCGCGAGCATGATCGTCGTGGCTTGCTCTGGTGGGTATTTTTAGTCATATTTTCATTTGTTTATAATAATATACATGAATGCTCTACTTGCAGGCTATTGGACGAGGAGGCCATATATCCAAACTCAAACGACGACACATTCCTAGAGCGTTTATTCTCACATTACGGCGATCGTGAGCATCACACGCTGTTGCGCAAATGTGCCGGACAGCGCCAGTTTGTGCTGCACCATCTGCAGGGCACCAACCCGGTGCTCTATGCTGTCGATGGCTGGGTGCGAAACAGTCGCGAGCATCCGGGCATACGGAACGCAGTGTCGCTGCTGCAGGACAGCAGTCGCGAAGAGATAAATCGTCTCTATATTGGCTCACTGACGCGCGGCTCTGGTGCCATGGTGTTTTGCGGCTCGTTCGCAGGCCTGGAGGGTACACAGTCATTGCGTCGAGTGTCCAGCATCCGGCGTTCCTTCACTACGGCGGGCGTCAAGCGTAACTCAATTATGCTGCAGGTGAAGTTCACCGTAGATGGCATAATTGATACGTTGCGCCGCACGGGCACCCACTTTGTGCACTGCTATTTGCTGCAACACAATGCGGGAAAGCATACCAAGTTCTCGGCGAATGGGTCGCCCAACACGGCGCTGGTTCAAGCTGCTACCGAGGAGGATTTGGTAAATGTGCCACTGTTAAGGAGTCAGGTAGGTTAACCAGGTCTAACTCACTCTCTGAACTGTTCCAATTAATGGCTACGATGCGTTCCCTTAGCTACGTGGCTCACAAGTTTTAGAGGCCGCTCGGCTGCATCGCCTGGGCTTTCCCGAATCTGTGCCATTAGTGGAGTTCGTGCGTCGCTTCGGTCTGCTTGCAGCTGATTTGTCGAGCAATAAAGATGTTACCGTGGAACAAATACTCGCTGTCAATGAACTGGACGTTGCCAGCTATCGCATTGGACCAAGTCAAGTGAGTTCAATGCATATTGCCTATTTATTTATAATTATATGAATACACAGTCGTAATGCCAAAGTTGAATTACGTATTAATTATTGAACATGAGAGAGTGATTGACTGGAAGGAACTGTGATATCTATAACTTTTGTTTATTACTAAGGTCTGCATTAAACATTCTTGACTGAATAACTTCTCTTTAATTAAGAGGGTATTTTAGGATGTTTTAAAACAAAGCACTATTTTAATTCTTTTTTAATGATTTAAAATTTATAAAATTTTAGGTCAGACTTTAACAAATTTTTGCGTTAAGTCATTAGTTGCTTTAATCTACTCCATAAATTAGAAAGTCTAGCGCAAACAGAAACATCAGTAAAATACTTATGTTTCAAAGACTTTTAACCTAAGCAAAGTTAAGTACATATAAATAAATGTTTCATAGACTTTTAATCTAAGCAACGTTTAGTACATTTAAATAAATTAACTTTTATTAATGGCAGAAGTAATTTAATTTAATCACTCTTTACTTGCTGCTTGCATGCCATGATGTGCTCGAAGCAATGATTAACCAGTTTCATACCTATTATTCAATCTGATTTTCTTATAAATATTATAGATGTCTATCTTTAGTTGTAGCCTGTATATCACTTATTGAACATTCAACTCTGTTGCTCGGCCTGCATTTATATGAAAAACAATGTTCGCCTTGTTTCAAAAATTGTAGACATTTTAGGTGGTTGCATGTGAACTAGGCCGTCGGCGGTGCCATACGGTGGTTGCCGCAGAGTACTGACATAAAAGATCCCCTTTTTGGGCATAGCCGGTTCGCCACCCATGAATGAATCAGCGGGACATGTCGCAGCACTGAACTTGGTGTGCTTGCCGCTGTTGTTGCAGCCACAGGTGAGCTTACGTATGCTCTGCAGGGATCTGCAGCGCACCGCGCCAAACATCTTTGGCCGGCGCACAGATTCTGCAAAGTAGAAGACGGCGCCAAAGTGGTCGCAGCTGATATCAAGTTCAGTGGCAGTTGCATTCGGGCAGTGCGGTTGTCCAAGGCCCCAGTTGGGGAATACTGCTGCCTGGCTGAGTCGGTTGCCTTCAGGATTACCGAGCAGCTGCAAATCTGTGTGTATGGACTCCACATAGATGGCATCGGTGGGTGCCAGGCGCTCTGAGGGTCCCACGCCGAGCTGTGAGAGACCGGCTGGATCGAGCGCAAAGATGGCGCCCAGGCGTGCAGGGCTCAGATGCTTGCCCGTTAGACCGGCTATGTGGCTGCCCGCACTGTGGCCCACCAAATAGATGTTATCGTAGGGAACGCCCGCATAGTCGTGCAGAAAACTGAGAAATTGGGCAACACTGGCAGCAATCGAACGGAACTGCTTGGACACACGAGAGTAGTTAATATCCATAGCCTGTTGGCTCCAGTCCATAACGATGACATTAAAGTCGCCGCGTGACAAATACGCATCCTTAACGGCTGCATTGTAGCAGGTGGTGCTCTTGCCCGTCCAGCCGTGTATGATGACTCTGCGTTGATTCGCAAAGGCCAAATTTTATAATTGCTCCATGACATTCACAGACTACTCTACCTGACTGGCCATTTGCCATTGAAGTTAGATTTCCTTAGCAACTGTACATTCCCCGGATGAAGCAGCTGACGCTCTTGTGGATTGTGCGGCGTATAGAGATCGTACTCTAATAAGCTGGCCTGGCTAACACGCCTTGAGGGACGTGTCAAACGTTTCAAACTCGTATTAACTAAGCCCTCCACGACATCGGCCATTGCAATTTCGCACTTGCCGCGTTCGTAAGCAAACAGCCGTTTGCCAGCGGATACATCTATACAAAAAAAAAACCATAGATTACGGATAACGACTCATAAACAATTGTCATTAAAATTTAAAAATCTCTGGCAAACTGACTCACTTCCAGCTGGCAGCAGCAGCAGCAACATTAGCGTAACGCTGTACAACAACTGCATTGCGAAATTTGATAAAAAAATAAAAACGAATTGGATAAAATTAAATTAAGTTTAATTAAAATACCGAGTCAAGTTTGAGGTAAACGCGCGACAATTAATCAATAAATTTGGCTCGGCTCACTAAAAGTCTGACAGCGAAAATTTATGAGCGACGGCGACACCTCCGACACGTTAGCGGTTCTGAGCAAAATTCTAAACGGACGGCGAGTTAAATACAATGTGTAGTATAAAGCTAAGCACACAGCGCGCTGAGGATCGCTGGATGCCGATCACGAATGCTGGACAAGGGCGCCAGCCGGCCGGACGCTTGAGAATTTGAGCTTCTGCTTCAGCGCGGTCACTGTCATGACAAGCGCCCATTTAATAAATTGCAAACTTGTTGAGTTTTGAGAAGTTGCTGTTGTTGTTGCTGCTGCTGCTGTTGTTGCTGCTGCTGCTGTTGTTGCTGCTGCAGCAACAGTAGCAACAATTGCAGATGCAACTAAGTGCAAGTAAATACTCAAATATTTTGCGATATGCATTGCATATCTGATGCTCAATTAACCTGCCAGACACTTCCGTTCTCGAGCTCAACGAATTTGAAACGACTGCTCATTCTGACTGGCGACTTCTTTTTGGCGTTCAAATCTCAAATTTAGCAACTCGCAGTGCATAGGGGGTCAGTAGGCTTTCACTATCCGCGGTCTAGGGGAAAAGTTAGTTCATTAGCCTCGCCAGCGTATTCATTAATGCCTATTATAATTATGGACATTTCCATATATTAAATGTAAAAATAAAGATAGGCGCATATATTTGAATTGGAAATACGCTTAATTTCTATTTTTTTTCTTCTGCCATTTACAGTTAATAATTTGAAATTTTCTTTTGAGAGTTGACTAATATTAAGTGGCCAATTATAGAGTTATTTCCAAAGCAGAAGTGTTAATCAATTCGAATACGCATAACACATAATCGAACTAAGAAAAAAAAAATGAATGTGTATATTATATCTTATTAATATATTCTACATATTTTTATTAATATATCAATCAAAAATTTATGAAAGTGACGCAATGTTACCTACTTTAAATCGACCTACTTTCAAGTCTTGTTTACACTTTCTGTAGGACATTGAGATTTCGACTGAACGATCAATAACTTTTGCGAGTTACTTTCCATGCTCCGATTCTAACGAACAATCTTTGTTAGCTGGTCAAACTAAGTAATTATGCATACAAAACAAAAATTCGTGAGCGGAGTCGTTGATCTTTTGTTACAACATACTACTAACTTTTCTCCACTGGGTTGCCTTTCTCGACAGAGCTAAAAAGTATATGGTTATTTATATATACATTTTGAGTATTTGTAAGTCGTTTGTCATTATTCATAAAATGTTGAACAAACATACCTCTGGATGTATTCGGGGCTCGGGTTCAACTATAACAAAAAAGTTTGTGTTTTCTAAGTCATTTAGCAGGTGTTTCGTGTCGTAGTATCAAAGTGTGATTTCGTTTTATGACTTGACTTATAACATCTAAAGTTTTGACTTCAGCATTTGAATTTCATCTCGTCGGCATTGCTGTTGACACTTTTTATGCCAAAAACATTTAACTGAGCATTCAACTCACTCGAGACATGTTGCACAGTTTATTGACTGAATTTATTTATTTAATTAAATAATGTTAGCTTATTATACGAGATGAGCCACAAAGAGTATTGAACATATTGATGTAATAAATGCATTAACTATTTCATTTCATGTAAGTATTTGCATCTCAGGCAAAGAGTATTGAATATATTGGTGTGATAAACTCATATAGCGTTTCATTTATACTGAAAGTATTTTAAATACGGCCAGTGCGCATAACACTAAACAACTAAAGCTCTATCTATTAAAATCATAAAGACCTTGTGCACTTAACATGAGTACTCAAGCAGCCCAAGTGCACTGTGTCACGACAGTCGTACAGGGTATCTGCTTGTCAATCTGCTTGTCAATTGTGACATACTTTTCTACACAGCATTGCCATTTTGTCACGAACGTCTTGGCTGTAGCTTTTATTAAAGCCGTATTTAATATCAAAAGTTTTTATTGTTTTGGTGATAAAAATACATATACGTATCTTAGTCCGCGAAGAAAATCTCTGCAGTTATTGCTATATACTATATATTGTATATTTTGGATACGTACGAATTATATTTGTGTTACAAAAATAAGCTGGATATTTAGCAAGTGCATTGAAAAACAACGAAATGTTTCATATCTGAAGTTGACTCGACAGCTGAATTTCCCAGCTCTGAATATGCATCATTATTCACGTAGTGATTCGGTTTATAGATCTTTAAGTACGCCCTGTAATTGATTACCTGTGCAGCAAGAGCATGTGTAATTTTGCTGACAGGCATTAATTTAAATCAATTTGTAATTTTGTGATGTATGCACGTTTCATTCATTCAAGTTCTGTTGAATTTCGACTAAGACTGGACTCATCTTGTTCTACTTTGGGAATGTCACATAACAAAAATTTAAATGATTTGATAGACGAGTTGGGCTATTGATAGTCATCAGCTTTAATAGCCTGAAATCGAAAGGTTAAACAGTCTTAGAGTAAATCAAGATTATATTATAATATTAAATTTCTTTAAAATTATCTATGAACAAGTTTTGTTTTGTTTCTTTTTTTTTTTTTTAAATATTAAAAAAGTCTCATATTTATTGGCAAAACGAAATTTTTACTCTTTTCCTTTAATTTTTATCATTTATTAAAAATATTCGATGAGCTAAAATTATTCTACATGTAAGAATTTGATTTTAAATATTAAAGCTCAGAAGCATTTTGTATAATTCAAAGATATTAATTCTCGACTGATTAGCACATTTAATTTATTACTGTGAGTTCCCTCAACTCATGATATATCAATATAAAAATATCATTTTCACTTTCTATAAACTTTTACTTTTTTTTTTCGCAAGTTTAGTTTTAATTTGCAGCAATTACTGTTTTCCAATTTATTCGACTATTCGATTTGGTCACTTCGCTGTGATTTGTAATTTTCGTAAAGTGTTTCTATGCAGCTGGGCTTGAGTATAGCCTCGCGCTGCTTCATATTCATATTACTTACTAGGGCTGGTTGGCTGGTTTTCGATTTCCTGTTCTCATGCAACTGTGAATCCCTACTTAATGCTCGCATTTGCTCACAAAAACTTTTGACGTCACTTGTGGCAAGTCCACATTTTTTCTTCGGACTCTCAGCTCAGCTTCGGTGACGCTCGCAACTTTCACGGTCAAGTTCATCTGTGGAAGCTCTTGCTTCCATTGTGATATAGAATTCCGAGCTCTCGCTGTGTTTTGTTGTTGCATCTGTAATGAGCTTTACGAGCTCTGACTACAGCCTATTGCTCTGATTCTGTACGATTGCTCAGTTGGTTTTTACAAATGGAGAACGTCGCAGTTAAGCAGACAAATTATTTTATTGACACATCAACGAAACCGAAATGTGGCTGGACAAATCCGATGTGTGTCTAATGACTGGCAATGAGAGTGGCAGAGTGAACAGCTGGTTCGGAGCCAGCAACAGCAACAACAATATCCGCATTGATTATTGGCTAAACATTTTTGCGCAGCTCTGTGGGCAGCGGCATGTCGGGCACGATATTTTGCGTTTGTTATTGCTCATCTATGGAATTGGCAGCAGCTTGTGGCTGATCAGACGCAGCGCACGCAGTGTACGTACCATACCGTCATACCATACCGAATCCACAAAAACAAAAATTCAATTCCAAATCTGAATCCAAGTCTGAAAGCGAGCCCAACCCAATCCAACCGCAGAGCGACGCATGCGTCGCTCACTTTCACCAAAAAATGACGTTGCGTTTGTCGAGCTGCGACCCGCTGCAACCTGCAGACAACACCAGCAATTGCGGCAGCAGCAGCAGCAGCAACAACAACAACAACCACATTTGTCCAATGCACATTAACATTTTTTCCATGCAAACATTTAAAGTGAAATTTCCCAGCGTTCGCTTTCATTAGAAATGAATCGCAGTCGCCGCAGTCTGAGCGGCTTATAACTTGCATAATATATTGAAGCGGGTTCTGTCAATCGCTTGGAAACCCAATGAACAAAATTTTGAAATTGGCTGAGTCGAAAGAGACACGAAAACTTCATTAGCGTTTTGACATGCAAGCGGCGTCTGCCCAAAGGGAGGCGTGGCCTTAATTCATTTACGCATTAATCTCAAACGAGCCAATTGACCCTTTAGGGCCAACTCTACGCAAACTAGTTTTCGATGAATTATGAAATAACAATAAGCAGGAAGCCATCCACATGCAATGCTCGTAAGAGCTGTAGTCAGCTGAAATGCAATTAATTATTTACTAGTCGTTCTTCTTTTGGTAATTAATTGGAAATTATAACAGACTGTCGTGAAATGGGACGCTAAATTCCTCTTGCTGTTCTACGAGGTGTTGGTAAGCTGATAACAGACTTTAACGAGCGATTTCAATTTGAATAATTAATAATCGGCTTGAGCTTGAGTCTTCGCGGGCTGACAGCGTACTGCAATAAGGAAGACCCAGCAGATTCTGTAAATCATCGACTTGTAATTGAATATGTCTCAGATAATAAGCAGTGATAGCATATTTTATCACTCTGATAACCGCCAATTGGCAATGAATGATCGACTGTGATTTTTAGCAAAAGCAGAGGATACATATAATTGAAAACTAAATTAAATCCTTGTTTTTTTTATTTATTTATTTGCAGTGAAAGAGTGAGTAAAGTGATATATTATTTTTATATAAATATATTTATAATAAAAATATATTTTATAAATCAGTTAGCTGTCATAAAAGTGTGATAAAATTTGAGATTCAAATTGATATTTAAATACTCTATTAGTGATGGACATAAAAGAAATCGCGTCTCACATAATTTTGACTGCATATACATATACAACAAAGATAATCGTAGATCGGGTGTACACACACTAATGCTTAAAGTTCAAACAACTATTTAAGTGTGCTTAAAGAAAACTAAAATAAATTTCCCCAAAATGAAAGCCAAACCATATTAAATCGCTCTTCATATCTTATTATTATATTATCATGTTATTATTACATTATTATAATTTCTATGAATATTATATAATACACTAGCGGAACTCTTTCTATAACCCAAACAAAAAGCAACATTCTTGGCTGTTTGTTCAGAGTGTTGTCTGAGTTTCCACTTGGAGGTTCTGCATGTTCTTGCCCTAGGGCAGTGCAACAACCTTTTCAACCCAACCCAACCCAGTCACGACATGTTCTGAAGAACATGCACACATATATATCAATATTTGTCATTGTCATAAGCTGCACCGAGAGCTCCACGGTGGCTTTAATGCTCTCTGAAGTCCAATTGCTGACAATGAAAAGTTCAAATCGAAACATAAATGAGAAGAGCGACGGCAAGCAATCATTTTTGTTATTTTTCACTTTTCTTTATGTATATGTATGTATACATAATGCTAATGATCTTTAAGCTGATGATGATCATGATGATGTGTGAGCGTGTCTGTGATTGCTGTAATGTCGCTAATGAGACGAGCCAACTATAAATCGAGCATTTGAAGACTGAATGAAAAGTGATTTGTTGGCGCTGGTAATTAGCATCGAACCTGCAGCTGCAACACGTTGCACAGAGCTGGGCTTGCCCCTTGGCAATGGCGACGTGCCCCCTTTCGCTGTGTATGGCTAACCATGACCGCCGCCAATTACGGTAAGCCGCGACCATGTCCACGGCTCTGTTTGTTGATAAGCCACTTTCGAATGCACAGCGCACTTGGCTGTTGACTGTTTTGCTGCTGCTGTTGCTGCTGTTGCTGGTGTTGCCGCTGTTGCTGGCTGTTTGGCTTCGTCTGGCGCGGCAAGAAATTCAGTTGCGCCGTTGAGCTCAAAGAGAAAACAACACACGAATTACGCGCCAAGCGCCCAGCAGCTGTGAAAGTGTTGGCTGGTGGTCAAGTGGCCGAAGCGGCGATCGCAGATCGAAAGGAAATTTTGCAACAACAAAAGTTATATGCACTTTTACTTGTTGCCCGTCTTTACATCATCATCATCATTATCACCATCAATATCACCATTATTAGCATCATAAATAACTTACAATAAATCACTGTTGTCATGTATAAACACACGGTCAAATCAAAACTGTCCCAGGCACGCAGCACGCCACCTGTGTCGACTGCCACGCCTCAAAAGCAGGCGCACCATGGCCTGGGGGCGGGTAAGAAATTCTTCTCAAGCATACGCCACAAAATCGAGGATAATCTAACACCCAAGCTGAGCGGCAAACTCTACTACAAGGGCAGCAAGCACACACGCTCGATGAGCGCCCTCAGTCTGGTGGACAACGGTGGCTGTGTGGTTGGCAAGTATACGCCGAAGCCGATAGTGACACCATCGGAGGCTCCGGAAAGTAGCCCATTGATGACGCTGAGCAGCAGCAGTGTGTGCAGCTTTGTGGACAGCGACGACGAGGGCCAGATGAGCCTGAGCCTGAATCTCACACAGCAATCGCTGGAGGACGAGATCTTTGCGGAGCTTGAGAAGGTCGCGCACGACGAGAGCAAACTGAACGAGGTGCTGCAGAGTTTCGATCAAATACTGCAGGAGTATCCGCCGGTGGAGGAGGAGCAAGGAGTGCAGTTCGAACAAACGCTGCCGGTGCCGATGGCGGTGCCAGTGCCGATGCCGCTGCCCCCACCGCCTGCTCAGTTCTGCGATCGGCAGCTGCTGTCGAAATCGCACAGCACACTGAGCATCGCCTCGAGCAGGAGACAAATCTATCAGACGCCCGAGTTGGCCAATTCGATGCTGTTGCGCCGCAGTGACTCCAGGTCGAATCAGCGCTACAATTCGCTCTGCGACATTAGCCAGCTGAGCGGCAGTCGGATACCCATATCGAAGCACTCGAGCCTGCGCTGCCTGGAGAAGAGCAGCCAGGCTGGCAGCAAAGTGCAGCTGACGCCGCCCCAACGACAGAAGCAGCAACGCACCCGGTCCATGCTGACGCTGAACAGCCGCAGCTGCAGCAAAGCCAGCCAGGCGGCAGCCAAAGTGAAGCCACAGACAATGCCTGTGTCTGTAATAGCGCCCAAGCGAGCCAACTCGACGCTGGAGCGTCGCCAGTTGGCGGCCAAACCGCCGAGGCGGGCCAACTCGACGCTGAAAGCTGTGGCCAGCCGATCGCCCAATGTGCACACAGATGAGCTGCTGGTAAAGTGCCTGGCCAAGGGTCATGACCTGCTGCGTCAGGTGGAGAGCATCAGTGCTGGCAAACCGCGGCCCAGTCGCGGCGTTAACAAGGAGCACTCACAGCTGATGCGGCACAAAAGAAACAGCAGCTGCACTACGCCAACGAAGAGAAAGTGGGCAAGCCCAAGCTAGAATCGTGCAAGATAATACCGCCCAAGCTGGGCGAGACCTCGGACAAAAACCACGAACTGCTGGTCAAAGTGGTGCAACAGCCGCCGCCGCCGAAACCCATAAAAACTGTTGAACACAGCTCGAACTGCGACTCGGATGACTCTGGCCACATAAGCAACACGGTTCTGTCATCCACGAGCAATTCGACTGGAAGTCTATGCGAATGCGAGGGCGATGACGAAGACGTTGAGCCAGAGCCAGCGCAGAGCTGCTGTAGGCCCAACAAAATTTCGCAGCTATTGCAAAAAGTTCGAGGCGAAGTCACAGTGCCAGACGGACAGCGGCCATAATATGAATGCGATTACAACGACGACGACGAAGGTGGCGCAGGTGCGGGCGGTGCGCTGCATACAAACACAGGTGGAGATCTATCCCACCTATATGAAAGAGGTAACTATGCAGCTGCACTAGCCAGCGAGTCCCCAGCAATAATGGTGTCCCACCATATCTAAATTTAAATTATCTATTAGAACTATTTCTTAACTATTAACTGGAATAAATACTGTTTAAAAACAAAAACCTCTACCGCTTATCTTCTGTTCTCTATTCAACTTTAACACTTGGTTTCGGTTATTTTGTTGCCTTTGTTTTTAGTACTTTTCTTGTAGCTCGTCTCACCTCAATCCCCACCACCTCATCTTGATCGTAAAACCCGCATATACAAATACAAAATACACACAAACACACACAAATACACACACCCATTTTCCCGGTTAGTCGCAATTTCACATTGGGTTACTTTCATTTTTGATCTACGTGCGCTGCATAATTAAAAATTTCGAAATAGTTTCTCGAAAAACGTCGCAAATTCAGAGACACATAGTTGACACACCTTGGCAAGGTGCGTCCGATTCCGAACCCAAGCCAAAGACATTTGGCTCACTAATTTGTAGTCGCAATGGTAGTTCGCGACTTTGTCCCAGCTGCATTTGTTTATGAGCTCCGGTGCTGCCTAATGGAATTGACGCACATTTGTTTATTTACAATTTTCTATTTTGTGTTGGTTTTGCATACCCTGAATCCATTGAAATTCTGTGAATGGGGGTATAATGCCTATTGGCTAATGTATGTAAGGGGAAGAAAGGAGACCGAAAGCTGGAAGTTGCCTATTTGTCTATATCTATTATTATTATTTACTTTCAATGCATTAGCTTTTCGATATCTCCTCAATTTGCATAATATCAATGAGTATTCGTTTTTATTTTAATTTAATTTTTTTTCTTTAATTTACATACATAATAATAAATAGTAAAGGGTATTACCCAGTCTATCAGCATTAAGTGGAGCACTCTTGATTTCTTTCACTTTTATTTTTTCGTGCCCTGTTGCACAGGTGTGCAAATTACTGTGCTCTGCTTGTGTCTAGCTCTTTGACTCTGCTGCCGTGTCAGCCACCTTGACCTTCACTTCCTTGATTTGATTACATTTGCTTTGTCTCGCCCCTTTGGAATCGCAGCTGCCATTGAAATGCGCACACATTTTATGTAGTACTGAGATTTTTAGCTTATTTATAAGACCATTTATTATATGTGTCGTGTTTTACTCTCTCTGCTGCAATCATTGTGATTTTATTTTCTAAGCTCCAAGCTGAAACGAAAAAGAAACTGGCAGCTGCCAAAACATCCAAAGAGTTGATCAATTGCCACATTGGATAATAAGGTCTTGCATTTCGCATTAACGTCACGTTCTGGAGATATGCCAGCTGCGAATGTCAAAGTTAGAAGCCGCTCGAATTCTTAAGTAAGATTTGATTGTCTATCAAAATGGTTGGAATAATTTATTGTTTTTTGTCCTTTTGTAGGATTTTTGAGTAAAAGTCGGACCCATTCGGAATGTTTTTATAAATGTTTTCGAAATCTTCGATGAAAATGCAAATCTTTTTATATAATAATAGATAATTTGAAATTTTGATTACTTCTCTAATGAAACAATATATGAATGAACTATATATACAAAAAATTAGCTTATACTTATTATATATTTTTTACTGAATAAAAAATAACAAGAATTGGACCTATTACCTATTGAAATTTATAACTAATTGTGTGCTTATCATGTTAAATAATATTTGCAGATTCTCTTCCGATCCGGCGTACTCAATGAGCTGGAAGCTAAACGAGATGTACTGCTATCGGATCGCATTATACAGCTGCAGGCATTGTGTCGTGGTTATTTGGCACGCAAGAAGATGTCACAGCGCCGTGTACAGGTGAGTGTCATTTGTTTAGGTTGCCCCAGAAGCCTTGACTAAGTCTTGTTATTGTAGGAGCTGGCAGTGCGTTGTATTCAGCGTAATGTGAAGGCCTTTCTGGCCGTGCGGGATTGGCCTTGGTGGCGTTTGCTGGTGCGTGTGACGCCTCTACTCAATGTACACCGCACCGAGGAGCAGCTGAAGATCGCCAACGAGGAGCTGATCATGCTGCGCGCCAAGCTGGAGAAGATCGAGTACGATCGCAGCGAAGTGAAGAACGAAAATCAGAAATTGGAAGCCAAGGTAAGCGCACTTTCCGCCTCTCGCTTGCTCTCTCACTCCCAGTCAGGGCAATTCTTCACATAAGTTTTTGATTAAAATTGCGCAGCCACGGATGACATGGCATGTGGCTGCTGCGGCCCACGTTAGCTCATATGACAACTATCTGGGGCGCCAAGATTTGAGTAGACAAGTGGTGCAAACATTTTGCCGAATGATGCTTTATGTTATGCTCAGTTCTTCAATGAATGATGTCTGCATATAGTATGTTTGTATGTTCATATGCTGCACAGTGGAGGCTCATTGACAAACTAATAAGAAAATGCATAAACTAATTACTATATTAAATGAGTTTTTTCAGCCAATATATTCGACAGTACATGTATACATACAATATATAAGTTAGTCTTTTTGGCTGAGTATTTTTGAATCATTTTATTTTAAGACCCATTAAACTTAGCACACATATGTTTATCTAAACATATGTCTTGCACAGCTCTAATACGCGAATGACCAAATTTGATAATGATAGTGAGGCAGAATTAAAGTGCTTTCAATTTGTGCAGGCCGTAATGCCATTGAAAACTTCTAAACGTCTACGACGCATTTGGCTAATGGCAAATTCGCAATGAGTGCATTCGGCGATAGATACAAATGAGTTGCGACTGCGATCTGGCGATATTTCCGCCTCTTGTTTGGTTTATTGTAAAATATAAATAGCTTCTGGGCAATGCGTGAGTCCATTGAACACTGACTGGGTGGGTATACGTATTTTGTACAAACTCACATCTTTATATATGTACTCTTAATATGTATATATATACATTTGTGTTTCTCTGCACTTAAGAATTGTGTGTTGTATGTATTTTTAAATGCTCTGAAAGATCATTAATAATTCTTTATAGCGCTGCTGTACTCGTGTTGCAACTCCGATCCACATGTTGGTCATTCGTTTATATAAACGTTGAGGAAATCAACAGTTGTCTCTGCTTATTACATACATTTGGCAGATATAAATATATATGTATATCTATTTGAGATTATGTCAATATAAAGACGATCCATGTTGCAATTCTTTTAACAGACGCTCGCCGGTTCTCTCAATCTCTATCTCTCTCTTGGCATCTATCTCTCCTCTCAGCTTCTCTGGGGCTGCTGAATATTTTGGCAAATAGCGGCCGCCCCGGTGAGCTTTTCTGGTCACGCATCGCAAGTGGCCGCTGTTCCCAAAGAGATTCAGTTAGTTGCTGAGCAAACGTCGCGACGCGAACGCCGGAGGCGCCCAACACCGAGCCGTGCCGCGAGATCCGTATCCGAGTTCGTATGCAAATCAGAATCCGAATCCGATACGTTTGCGTGCGTGTGTGCTATAGGAAATCGGTGCCAAGAATAAAATAAAAACATTAGGAAACCAGAAAAAAAGAAAGAAAAAGAAAAGAAGCAACATATTGGCAATTTGATGCTTAAGCCAAAATAAATGGGGCTTTTGCGATAAATTTAAATATTTGCCAGCGAGCGATATCAAGTTTTTGACAGCACGTAAAATCTCACAAAGATATCCCCCCGAACCACATAAAACGATCCATAATCAAAAAACGAACTCAAAACGAAATTAACGAATTGGCTCAACCAGATTTGCACACAACCAAAACGAAAACCTCCTCCACAAAGCCCACTAACCCATTTCGTACTATCGCCTGATTAACACGCATTTAAGCCCCCTTGTTGACCCCTCCCCTCTCCAATGGCACCGCTGGCGCCTGTCGATGCAGCCCTTGCTGACAGTGCTGACATTGCAGCGCCGCCAGCAGCCAGTGATGTGTTTAAACATCAATTAGAGTCTCAGCCGGAGCAGGACAAGGAGACGTTTATGGCACGCGTATTGGCAGCCATGAATGGTATAACGAGAAACAATAACAACAGCGGTGGCAGCGGAAGCGGCAGCGGCAGTGGCTCCTCGCTGGGCACACTGAAGCCACCGAAACCGCCAAGCAGCCAGGCACGCAAGCAGATACGTCTGCTGCCTAAGCAGCGCGAGCAGAGCCCTGTCCTGAGCAATGGGCACGGCAACACCACAACACGCAACACACACCACAACACCAACAGCTACACGCCACGTGCCACAAACTACAGCAGCAGCAGCACCACCTCGCAGTCGCTTTCAACGTCCGGCCTGGGTAATTGCCAGCAGGAGACTACTGACAGCCACTACGAGGTTTCGCTGACACTGCCTCTCTCAACAGGCACAGGCACAGGCACAGGTACAGGCGCTAGTACGGGAAGGGGTTCGGCCTCAACTGCATCGGCATCCGATGCTGCCGCAGATCGATTGCGTCTGCTGACGCGTTCGCCCAGTCCCGCCTATTCGATGTCATCGCGCTGCTCGACGCAGTCCAGTGTTTCGCGTACGTCGCGACTGGAGACACCGCCGCGTCGAGTCTTCCCCCAGACCTATACCAAGGGCAGCGGCCTGGATCCGTATGAGATGCGTCAGCTGGAGAGCTCGCCGGTGGTCTTTGATGCAAATCTGTCCTTTGTTTTGGGCTGCCAAAGACAACCGGTGCATCAAACTCTCCGGCCGACTCCCTCGTTTGAGGATCCGCGCACCTCGTCCGCCTACCTCAGCGAGAAGATACAAAACTTTCTCAAGCGCACCGACCATGTGCAGGAGGAATGGGCAGCCATGGGACGGCGCACGCGACGCCAAACCAACAACAGCAGCAATGGCAGCATAAGCGGAGTTGGAGGCGGCTACAGCAGTCGCTGCAGCACGCCCAGCTCGGCATATTACGATGATTACGATACAATCTCGCTGATTGAGCGACAGCGCGAGCGCAACAGCATGGAACGCTGCGGCTCTGTGGGACGCACACGTTCCTCTCAAAACATACTGACTAAGGCGTTTCAGCTCTCCAAACAGCTGCCACACACGCCAACGTCGCGTGGCAACTCCATAGCCAGGGAATCATCGGTGGCCACCTCAGTGATGTCCAATGCAATCAATGGCGATGATGACGACGATCGCACCATACGCGAGGAGGATGACAATGAGTTAGATGAGGTAGTTTCTGCTGCTGATGCTAACCTTGAGCTTGCTGCTCATTTGATGTGTGATTTTTCAGTGTGTGTGGGCAGTTGACATCATTTCATATGATAGCTCCGATCTGCCCAGGTCTTGTCTCACTTGAGCACATAAATATAAATGATTCTTAAGTAAACATATGGTTGAAAAATTCCGATTCCATGCAACAGCGCTGCGGCTGACATTGACAGCGGCATCCTCCGACGTCGACGTCGCCGTTGACGTCGAGGCGTTGCTAAAGTTAGCGGTTCACTTCAGATTCTCAGGTCCATCTATTTTTGGAGCACAACAAAATAATGCGTGAATCACACAGCACGAATTCTTTAGGTGCGGCAGAACTTGGAGGAATATTCCATTTGTTGCTTATAATGATTTAATGTTATTTTATTGGTACTTATATATCTGTTTTGGAAGGCCAGGGGCAAGGTGCTCACAGAGTCTAAACTTAGTTCAAAAATGTTTAGAGTGTAATATATTTTTGAATTTGAAATCTTAATAAGAATATTCCTTTGTATGTTTTGCCAGGGCTATATCATATCAAATGAAGAACTTATATACAACATATTAAGTATATATTATTATTTTTATTAATTTGCTTTTATATAT